TTTTTTTTTCTTCTCTTCTAATTGCATATCGTACTTTTGCTTCTCCATTATTATTTTAGGTTTGATAGTTTGATACTTTTTTCGCTTATGGTGTATCACAATATATTGTTTCTCATAGTTTCTTACGAGCTTTTGGTTATTTGATTTTTCTTTAATACAAGCTATCATATGCAGTTCTTCTGTCTTATGTTAGTTTGGTCTTATGTTAGTTTGCTTATTCTTCTTTATGGTTTTCATGACTTATACAAGTTATGTCGCCCTTATACAAGGGAGATGATCGTTTACTTTTTTGGGTTTAGCCGTTCGCCTGAAGTGTAGTGGAAGATGATATGAACATCATGCGGAGGCTGAGTCAAAGAACAAGTCACAATCGACGCTATGAAATCTCAACCGCTGCTGATTATTGATGATTATTGCTTCATGATATCTCGGAACGTCACTAGAGATTTTCAGCGATAGTTTCTTGAGTATCTCCACCTTCAGAATCAGAGGTATATTGATATATCCATCGTGACCAAGTCATGTTGGTCATGGTGAGGTCTCATGGCTCTTCTCTTCACGCATCCTCTTCATATCCAATATTTTATAAAATCCTACATATTCTTAGCAAAAAGAAAAAAAAATGAAATCCTAGAGGCTAAAGATATATAATGAGAGAATTAGCGACGAAACTTTTTTTTTTTGGTTAATTGGATTTAGTTTTGACTCCTATTTTTTTTCTAAATTTTAATAGATGATCTGGGACGTCGTTGGAACCCACCGGTTGTTAGAATCCACAGCCGCTGATCTCAACCTAACCCCGAGCATTCACTATCGCTTGTAACCGCCACTGTAAGGTAAGCAGTAAACCTTAGCCTCTAAATACATGTGTTTGTCGGTGCAAACCTAGGGTGAATCTTAAACCTATTTCTTGAATCCGATCTTTACCAACTTGTCTTTGTCTCCGATCTACTCCACCTCGGTTGATCACTTTCCAAATCCGAGCCAAGGTGAGGACGTGTGTGTGCTGTTATATGACTTATGATCGATTCTTCTTTGGTTTGAGAACAAAAATAAGTGTTATATATATACTTCACAATTGTTTTAAGTACCTTACTGCATATCACAATATTGTGTTTCTCACTCTTATGATTTATGATCAATTCGTTTAAAATATGTATGTTTTTTAATTTGTTCATGTACTTTACCGTGTATCCACTTATTGTGATTTTAGGAATCGGTGACCATAAAGAAACAGGAAAATAAGTTGTATTGTGCTACAATGAAAACAACATCATGGTTCATGTGTATGGAAGTACTTAAATCATCTACGTCTCAGAAAAAGAGTGAATAGAAGGGAACATGGAAAGCAAAAAACAAGCAAGCTTTCTTTGCGAGAAGGTTAGCTCGATGTAAGTCAATAGATTTTGTATACACATTTTTATAAACATATATAGATAGATATGTAATCATTATTCTGAATTATTTCTCAAGTTTGCACTTTCTAACTTCATATCTTTTACGTGTTTTAATTAATTTGTGTTACCTTTTACATCATTTCATCAAACTTAGTTATAGTTTTGGTGCTTAAAAAAGCTTAGTACATTCACATTCAGCGCCTACACAGCCTTTCCTCCACTAATCATTATTTCTATAGGGTAGAATTTAATTTTTGTAGAATGTAACAATTGCTACAAACATGGAGAAAATTAATATGAGTGCCAAGATATAATTTATGGGAAAATGCAATAGGTTATACTTTTTTTGTCTGTTTTTCTGCATTTTCAGAAACCTTAAGCAAGATTTTTTTAATCTTTCAAGGTGAATAGTTTCTCGGTCTATCTTCCATATTCTTAGTGTTAGGTCGCATCCGGTTATTCTAATGTGAGAAAAGGTCGATGGCAGTGGTTAGGATGATATACATTGTGAAATTTTTGACCATTGATTTAATTTTGATTATTATTAGTTACGTTCACAAGCACCTTTGTTTTTGTTTCAAATGTTTTCATTTGTGCCAAATAATTTGTTGGATACATTTGGTATGTCAAATTTATTTATTTTGATATTTTCAAAGGTCGATACATGATTTCTTAGGTTTCCATGGTGGAAAATACACGCAGCCATCAAAAGGAAATTAATCAATCGGTTTTCCCCACATTTGCGTGAAGGTATCATGGCCTATTTAAGTGATATTTTTAGAAAATGAGGTGTTTACGAGAATAGTGCAAAAGAAGAAAAAGAAACCAGTGAGCAATACCACATTGTAAAATAAACAAATAAAATTAATTCAAGATTTTCATATTATATTGGGTAACAACTTAGTAATATTAGAATTAATTCAATTATTGTATATGCTTCGTGTGGCATGTTTG